GACTCGAAAGACAAGTCCGGGACTGCTGGTCGTGACAAGGGCGAGCCGGTAGAGAGCACGGTGACGGTCGAGAATTGGACAGCTGCTTGCGGAGGTGGCCTGGACGACAAGCGAATCTGGCGCTCACCAGGAATTGCTGGAGACAGCTGAGCCGCTCTGGTTCCCTTGCAGGGACGCCGGCAAAGATGAACTGGAGCTGGCGAGGTGCGGTGGTCGTCTAGAAGCACCCAGCTGCGTGAGGGTCACGGTGTAGAGAGAGTCGATTTGCAACCACGAAAGGAGTCTCTTTCTGATTCTTCTTGTCTCGGTATCAACTTTTTCTTTTAATTTTTTTGAGGAATAAGTGCACTGGAAGTCCTAAAAATTTCGCGAAAATGCAATTAAGTCCTAAAACTTGTAAATAATGCAATCAAGTCCTAAAATTTATCAAATTTGTGCAATCGAATCCTTCAGTTAACTTCGTCCAACTCGACTGACGGAAAATGCATACGAGGCTTTTTTAAAAATATTTTCTCTCTCATATGTGACAATAATGTGACTGAAATGACTTGGTACAAATATGATTTTTAATACATTTTATATTTAAATTAAATTTAAAAATGAGCTAAATTAAAAAAAGGTGAGAACTAGGCGAGCCGTTGTCAATGAGGGTTGCTGACCATTGGCTAGGTCCAGCGACCCTCGTCGGCCATCCCCCACTCTCGTCTGCCCTTCTTTGTGATGGTAGGCAGAGGTGGCTATGCAACCCTCGCCATCTAGTTCTCAATTTTTTTTAAAAAAGAAATAGCGTACAAAATTTTTCAGCCACTATGAGATTAAAGGGCTTGGCTGAATTTTCATCACTGCGGGCATAGTCCAATTAATTCAATTAGGCTACGAATATCCCTCATCAGTCTGTCAGCTCTAATGCAATTATATGATCTTATTACTATTAAAAACTCTTAATATCTATATGCAATTTAACTAATATTTTTGTTTAGTGGTCGGGATCGATTTCTAATTTTTCTATGCAATGAATAATTAAATTGGTCGTCAAAATTTATGTGTTAACACGGTTTCATCTGATTTCATCTTGAAGGATTCATATTTGCCAAGAAAATATCTGTCTTGGTCTCTTTGACTCTATCTATTCCTTCAAAGGTCACCTGAAGTCTGTTCCATATCTCTTTGGCTATTTCACAAAAAGAAACACGATTATATTTAGCAGGAGATAATGCATAGCAAAGTAAGGGCTTGTTTGGTTCAACTTTGAAAATGCTACTCGGGGAATGCAAATACCTTTGGGTGAAAGCCCATTTGGGAAATGCAAATGGTGTTTGGTAAAAATATTTTGTAAAGCTACTTTGGCCAAAATATAGTATTTGGTGAATTTTTTTTGCAAATGCACTTTGAGAATTATCTTATTTATTAAAAAAAAAAAAACAAAACCTACCCATCGCCGGAGAGCCGGCCGCCGGCGGCTCGTCGCCCGAGGTCGGGCGACCCCCGGCTACCCTCGCCAGCCGCTGTCCACCCTCGCCGGCCCTTCTGGTGAAGAAGATGAACAGCGCTAAACCCCAAAAAAAAAAAAAGATATGAACATAGCATTCAGTAGAATGCTGAAAGCCCAAGGCGGTCCGGACAGCCTTGGGCAAGATTTGGAATGCCAGCATTTGGCCAATGCTAGGCCAAATGCTGAATCAAACACTCTAGCATTTTGGGAAGGGGCTTTCGAGGCCCAAAGCCCCTTCCCAAAGCTGAACCAAACACCCCCTAAATATAAAGCTTTGTCGTCTAGTGCTTCTCGTTTGGCTACTCCTGAGGAGTGATTATGGTCAAAGGTACGGCTCTTGTCTCATTTGAGTGTCCTAACTCAGAGGAAGTAGTTGTGATCTTTGTTCTTTTGGGTAGTGCAACATTTACTCCATTTTGCACAACATCCCATATCAAAGGGTATGTGGATCCGAGAAAGACTTTTATTTTATTCTTTCAAATCTTGTAATTTGACCCATCAAATTAGGGAGGTCTGATGTTGCTCTATTGTTCAACAATACCTAGTCCAAGCATGCTAGCCACAGTGGATTGTTAACTCTAGAAGTCAACAACAATTCAAATAGAATGAGCACCACACTCTAATACTAATTGTAGTGGCTAAAATTATCACTTAGAGGGGGTGAATAGGTGATTTTGAGAAACTTAACTAACTTTAGTGGTATTATAAACGTCAAGTTGGGTATAAGCGAAATAACTTGATGTAAGCAGAAGTAAATTAATATAAGCAGGAATAGGTTATATCAAGTGTAGTGCGCTTCCATCAGTCATTAATAGAAATAAGTACAGAAAAAGAAATTGATGCACGTAGAGCTTTATATTGGTTCAGCTTGGTATAAACCTACGTCCACTTTCTCAAACTAATAGCCTACTGGCTGGATTTCACTCGCAATTTATGTGCCGTTTATACTCAAGGCACAGTTTCCCGAAGCTGGTGCTGCTTATACTCAAGCGGATAGATCACATTATCACACACCCAAGTGCAAACTATAACATTGATACATTTCTCAGTAGATTACACTTTCAGTACACTCAAGTTTAAAGATGTAAAGCTTTCTTTATTTCGTAGTTCATCTTCTTTGGTGTAGGTCGATCTTCTTATATAGTCTTTAATCTCCAAACTAGCCGTTGATAATCTTCAAGATAATTAATTTAGCCATCAAAGATAAGTAATCAAATCACCAGAAATCCAGTCATCTATACAATCAAATCTTCCGCTAATACTGTAGCTTCCATGAATAGAGTTGCTTATATTAGGAAATAATCCTTCTCGCCAAATGATTGATAATTGATTGGATTCTTCCTTAAGCAACTTCTAGATTTCCAAACTTAGGACTAGCTGTTAAATCTTTTGACTTGCAAATTAAGTCAAAGAAATATCTGAGTCTTCTTGTTCAGATCATACAACACATGTTTTAAACATATTATTCGTAGTTTATGGAAGGAGCCGCTTCTAGTAGCAATCCCTGAGTATATCTAAGTTGCTCGTTTCTATTCATCTTATGAATAGCCATCCATTGGTCTTCCTTAGTATCTTAGTGATCCAAGACTATATAAATTGTTCACCTAGTCCGGTACCTCCAAGTCTCTATGAACTTCCTATTCTTCATGACTTGTTCACCTCCATAAAGGTCCATCCAGTTATCGTTAGTCTTTTACTTCATACTTCACGTACCTTTGATATCGGCAAAATATATCAACTTCACTCTAGGTTCTATCTTTCTAGTTCTTAATTGTGGCTCTACCTCGTTGTTCACCTATTGATGGTACCTCCAAGTTTTACCAAACTCCTTGTTCTAGGCTTGTTCACTTTCTACTCAGGTACCTCCAACTTATATACACCTCTACACCCAGTGCCTTGTTCATCATTGATAAAATAGTGTACTTCTCATCTTTAAAAGATCATATTAGGACACCGTCTGCATATTGACTTGTGCATCTTTCACCTGGTATTACTCAATCAATAAACATATTAGACTTTGATTATTTTGTCATTTTTAAAATATCATAAGGGATTTTCCCAACAATTTCTAAATTGAGTAGTGAAAATGCAAAGAAGAATACGGGGCTATTGCACTATTTTTCTGGGTGTGGAGATCATGATACTTAATGGTGATCTTTATTTGTGTCAACAATAATATGCTTTGTCGATTTTAAAACGTGCACAAACGGAGGGTTGCAAGCCAGTTTCCACACCTATGGATAGCTTTCATTCTAATACATATGCAAAACAATCTTCAAATTCTATGATATATCGAAGTATCATTGGAGCTCTTCGTGATCTTATCATCACAAGGCCGGATATTTTATATGCAGTTGATTTTGTTTGTCAATTCATGCATCAACTTACTGTGAGATATTTTCAAACTGTGAAGCACATTTTATTCTATGTCAACGACATAGTAGACCAAGGAATGCAATCTTATCCAAGTCGACTTTGGACTAGTATAACTTTTATGATGCGGATTGGGCCGATCACCACTTGACTCAAGAATTGACTATAGGATGTTGTTCCTTCTTAGGTAGTAATTGTATGTTATAGAGTGCTAAGAAGCAATGAACAATTACTCGATTTAATGCTAAGGTAGATTATCGTGCAATGGTGTTGACAATTATAGATAATACTTATATTTCATTCTTTTTGAGAGATTTAGGTATTCATCTCTCAAGTCCACCAAGTTTATTTGGTGATGAAATCAACGTGTTTATATGTCAGTTAATCATTTGTTTTATGCAAAAACTAAGCATATTGCCTTAGATTATCATTATGTGCGAGAAAAATGGCTCTTGAAACACTTGTGACCAAGTATTCAAATTGCCATTATCCAAAAATGCATTTGGAAACTTATTTGAAAATTCCCAATTTAAAGGAGAGCAAAGGTATTGATTTATCCATCAAGAGAGAAGAATATGGAGATGTCATCAAAATCATAAGCCGATTCTTGAAAATGGTAAAATTGAGGGATTGACAATTGTTGTAATAAGGATTTTCTTTTTTATGATTTACATTGTTGGATTGACAATTGTTGTAATATATGAAACATAGACATGTGACTTGAAGGTAAATGAAAATCGATATAGAATGATGTGAAGATGTGTGATAACTTATAAATGCAAAAAAAAAAATTTGGTACGCTGCATCGATGATGTAAAGATGTGTAAAAAATAACAACTATAGATATGCAACCTTTGACACTAATGTCAAACAAGTTATGTTATCCTAAATTTTACTTTCACGTGATAATTAGATTTGAGAAAAATATAATAACTTACTCGCTCTTGGACTTGACCGCACATTTTTATGGAAACATCAGTCACCTAAAACCGAAATGGAAAAGAAAAAATATAAATTCATGGATATCTACGAGTGCGATAAATGAAAATAAAAGATTGAAAATTCGATACCGAAAGATAGGTTGTGAGGAAGAGAAGTAAAATTATCATATGAACTTGTCTTCCTGGCGAAGGAAACTTGTCTTCCCCTCTCTCTCTCTCTCCCTCTCCCTCTCCCTCTCTCTCTCAGCCTTCGCCGTCTGAATTCATCGGAAAGCCTTCGATTATCCCCTTCTGATTTCTGAAATAGCAATCTCAAAGCGATCGGCAGTTTTTGAACAATCTATGGGAGATATCTTTTTTTGGAAAAAATCCATGGGATCTATTTACCTGGATGCATTTATCACAACTTTCAGCTACTTCATCGGAACTGCGACTTGGCGGCGCTTGGGAAAGACGCCATCGGCCACCTCCAAAGTCGCCCCCGATGCCCAGGTACGGAGATCGTACTCTTCCGATCATCTGATGGTTTTTTTTCTTTTTCTGGTCGGATCCTTAATGGTTTTTCAGAGTTGATGAATCAGATGATCTTGTTAAGTAGTGCTGACTGCTGTGGACTCTGTATGAGAGAGAGAGAGAGAGAGAAGAGAGGGAGAGAGGGAGAGAGGTCATGATACTTTCTGGTTTTTATTAACTGAAACTGGAAAAAAAGAAGAAGAAAAGCTTGCTGTTTTGGTGATTGAAAAAGAGAATCTTGCTTTTTTGGAACGGTGTGCAGTATATGCTCTCCCCTTTTCGACTTTTATAAAAATGAGGGGCAGTGTCTTTTGTTTCTTTTCTTTCTTTCTGACATGCATTATCTCTCAAAGGACATATTTTGCTGGATCTTAACTTTCTTGGCTCACTTTTGCGTTTTGTCTTCTCTGTGTGTTTATTAGAAGGACCTTAAGAAGAGAGAGGATTTCCTTCCTGTGCAGAAACATTGCTCGGGTGGCGATGGCCAGCAAGACAAGAAGGTTAGTTCTGTTTTTCAATCTCCTGGTATCTCTATACAATATGGTTTGGTCTAGACAATGATCGACACAGTTAGAAATTGCTTTATTAGTGCTATTCAGTTATGAAAAAATTTCGCATTGAATTTGAAACAGATCCCGCTTACTGGGATGTACATACTAGTACATGTTGGTCTCGACATGGTTCTGGCATTAAGATTTTGACCTTGCCATCAATCATAAGATTTGTTTTCCTAGACATGCTTTTTACTTCAGGGGATATTCTCAGGGAATCATTAGGACATGACGGGCAAGCTTTTCTTTGTAGCAACATTTGCATCCTTATGTTTCACTCATTAAGTTAATTTAAACTTTGAGTATGGTATTATTGTAATGGGATGAACACTATATGGAATCATTAGTTAGCCATCTCACTGCTATCATTGACTCTGAATGACTTTGCACTGTCAAAAAAGCAGCTAAAAGCATATCTCTAAGAGTTTCATTATGTTTTCATTTCATTAGTTTGTCAGAATGAGTAATGCAACAAATACGTTTGTGCTTTGTCTTTTGTTTATCCAATGTTCTTCTACTTAGTGGGATGTACATATTAGTACATGTAGGTCTGACATGATCCTGGCATTAAGATTTTTACCTTGCCATCGATCACAAGATTTGTTTGCCTAGAGTTGACTGTTCGCCAAATGAAAGTTTTCATTTGAAAACTTTTTCTTAGAGAATAGTTTACCAGAAAACTTTTTCATCTTATGCACCAGCTAACAAAACAAGAGTCATCCTCCGATCAATGAACTAGTTGAATTAGCTAAGATGCCAGAATGCACCAATATCGAAATACTGTAGGAAGTGCGGAACCTTCTTTCCTTTCTTTCAAGTTCAATGACCTAAAGATCTAATAATTTTGAAGAGGCTCTAGGAAAGCAGGAATTTTTGGCTTAAAGCCAGTTCTTCTTGACTTGCTTATTTCTCATGCCTCAAGTATATTAGGAGTTTTTTTCCCAAATAAAATTCTTGAGGGTGACAGGGAATTGACGTGCTGAGGACGGGATCAGCTGGTGGTGGAAGAGGCAAGAATGGCCACTCAAAGGTTGTAGTTTCAGCATTGGAGGGGGCAATTGGTGAACAACCAGTGCATTCTGGTGGTCTGGCAAATGGTAGTGGTGCAAGTGGAGCGGTAAGTAACACGAGCTTGGAAATGACTTAAGCTTCCATAAGGAAATTTGCTTTCCTGAAATTTTGTCATGATAGTGCATTGATCAAGAAATCATTCAGCTTGATTTAGTTGTGATTCGATAAAAAAAATGCCGAAATGCTTTCTAAAGGTTACTTTTTGCAAAGCAAGCTTGCCGGTTTACTAAATCGAGAACTATTGTCAGGGGAAATGGAAAAGCATGCTTGATATACAAACTTCTTGTTACTCGAATACCAAAGAATGTTGACTTTTTTACTGTTGATTAACAAGTTAACTGTAATTTTTAAGTCTGGAAAAAAGAGCCATGCTAGGAGAAGATTTGTCTTTTCCCGCGAAGGATAGTAGCACAACTTAATAATTCATTGTATCAGAGAATTCGCTTTAGCAAGAAGTCGACTATTTTCAGGAAAAAAAAGGTATACTCAGAGACAGTTATCGGATAATAGCATGTCATGGACAGAAAGGTTGAGAGGCAATTTGGTGAAGTAGTTGAAACTTGAAAGGAACTAAACTTTTTTTTAGTTAATGCATATTACATTAATGACCAGCTTCCTGCACAATTCCAATGAGTAATTGCTTTTTTTCTCAAGATTAATTACAGGTTATGTTTCAGTTTATCTAATTGCTCAAGAGTTCTGTACTGGATACTGTCGTCATACTTTTAACTTTGGGGGATATTCTCAGGGTATCATTAGGACATGACGGGCAAGCTTTTCTTTGTACAACATTTATCTCATCCTTATGTTTCCCCCATCAAGTGAATTTAAACTTGGATTATGGTATTATTGTTATGGGATGAACACCTACTTGGAAACATCAGTTCGCCATCTCGCTGCTTTCGTTGACTCTGAATGACTTTGCACTGTCAAAAAAGCAGCCAAAAGCATCTGATTGTAGATTTGGCGAGATGCATGCATATCTCTAAGAGTATCATTATTTTTTCATTTCACTAGCTTATTAGAACGGGTAATGCAAAAAATACGTTTATGCGTTGTCTGTTGTTTATCCAATAATGTTCTTCTACTTAACACACACACCCCCCCCAAAGAAAAAAAGAAGAAGAAGAAGTAAGTTTGTTCAACGTTCTCTTGTAGCTTGGTAGGTATTTTTTGCTTTTTCTTTAGCTGATAACTGCTCGCATTTGATTGGGTTGAACTTGTCTGTCGTACTTGGATTTAACGTCTATTCTTTCTTCACAAGTTTAAACTTCAAATAAGAATTTTCTTGGTCGACTGTGTTGAATTTTTATTGATGTTTATACAAGCAATTATGATATAGTAACACATTCCCAAAGAACGTATCCGTTTTGGGTACAAGTCTAGATTGTCATTATCTGAATATCTAGTGCCTGATCTCTTCTACGCAGGATTTTAAGAAATTTTAAGTGCCGATGTTACACTAGTAAAATTAGATTCGTCACGTGGCATGTTTGATGATATTGCAAACTCTGAGGACTAGAAAAGCCCTCGAGTCCCCTTTTGTGCTGCCTAGACTTTAACACTAAACCCCCATCACTGATTGGATTTGCTGGAGTTTAATCTGTGCACTTGACAATCTTAGCTTGATCTTCCCATGTAATCTCGTTTCTTCAGAAGTTGTGCTGTCTCTTTGTTCTTATTTGATATATATGATCTCACTAAACTTATATTCGTCCGCAACACCGTAAATTATATCTAAGATTGTACTTCTCGTGTGTAGGATCCCAAGATGAAAAAGCCTGCTGCTCCACCCTCTTGGTACGGTCACAAATTTGGCAGTTGCAAGGAAAATGGAGAGGTTATTCTTCCAATCTTTTCATATTTATACACTGGAAAATGCATAAGCATTCTCCTTTTTTGAGTTCTCTCTTTGATATGTAACGCGTTGCTTTGTTGTGATATTTGTATCAATTACCCTAAAGATTGAAATCTACTTGTCAAAAACAAATGACCAAAAATATTGAAATCTACTTATCAAAAAATCATTACTCTTAATATTGAAATCTTATTTGATGTTATACATGTCTAGATTAGTGAGAGTAAGTCTTATTTGATCTTGTTGTGAATCCTGTATCCAAAATTTACCCTAAGTGTTAAATCATTTAGTAACGCGGTCCTTTCTTCACAAGCGAAAGAAAGATCAGATTCATTTTCAAAAAAAAAAAAAAGAAAGATCAGATTATTATTTATACTTTATTCTGACAAAGTGGGCCCTTAGAGTTAGGCCCACTACTGACCTTGGTCTTCTAAAAGGATGCTTGAAACAATAAAATCTTCGCTTGTGTATCGATCGATAGTAAATGGTTGGGATCTCTGAGTTCCTGCTCGTCAGTGCACCTCCCTTCCCTGATGAAGAAACTTAGGGCTCATTTGATTTTAGAAAACAAGTTCATTTTCCATTTTTGTATATGAAACATCTATGGTATGTGAAAATCAAAATCAAGAGTCTCTTTCTTTTTGTTTCCAAGATAATAGTGAAAGAGTCTTTTCCTTTGGTATTCACTGTCTTTGTGTTTCATTCGAAAAGGAGAAGACAGGAGATATCAACAATATATTTTCGGTTTGTAACGTTAACTTGGAAAACAATTTCCTTATTACTGTTTAGGAATTGTTTTTCGAGTTGATTAAAAACTATCTTGGTTTTCGTTCTCAAATGGAAGTGAAAACATAAGACTTCAAGATTTCTGAGGTATACAACGTGTCTAATGTTTTTTCTGAAGAGTTATAACTTTCGGGTATTAACCAAGCAACATGCTTCAATCTTTTTGTTAATTAACAGATCCAGACCCTGCTGACTTTGATATAAGGTATTGAAAATCATACTTTTAAGTTCTCTTTAATTGGCAATGGTACCTTTATTCTTTTACAAAAGAACTTGATTTGAAAATGCTTTACTTGATCCTACAAGTCGGAACTGCTAGGAAGGACACAAATATTTTGTGAAGACAAGACATAATTGGTACCTGATCAGTGAGATAATCATACTCCTGGAGTGATTAAACTCTTGAACAATTTAATCTGTTTGTAAGGGTATTGTCTCATCATTATTTGATCTGTTTGGCAATTGGAAAAAGAAATCATGTGGCCTAATTATTGTTTCTGTTCATAATGCCTGTAACCTCTTAAAATTTTTCAGATGGCATCTGGAGAAGAAAGGTCTTGGTCAGTGAAACTTCTGGCGGTGTTACTATTCTTATTTGGTGAGACTCTGATTTGCGAGCATCTTCCTCTTTTGTAGTCGTTTTTTCTTGATTCTCACTGGATTGATCCCAATACTATTTGGGAAACTACCTGGAAGTGGACCACTTTTTTTGTTTTCCTTTTTATTCTTTAATCGCTTTGTCATGATGTTTTTAATTCCTGATTTTGATTCTGTAGGAAAAATGCCTGTCCTTGCTTCAGCGGATTTTACGCTTGTGTATCAAAATGATTGCCCGATACCGATATTCCCATCACTGATTCCTACCGGCGGTTCTCCAAAATTATTCGATAGAACCAGTCTCAGTGCAATTGGTCCAAATATAGTACAGTCATATACTTTGCCAGATGGGTGGGAAGGCATTGGCCTTTTCGGTACTGGATGCATTTCTGATGGATCGGGCAGTCGCAATTGCGCCACCGGTAATTGCGAAGGCAGGGATTGTACTGCAGAGGACAGTCCGGTGGCAACAACTTTCATCATTTTCAGCGACGGTTCCATCGCTATGTCCGCGGATAGGGGGTATAATGTCGGACTTGAGATTGAAGGAATGCATGTTGGCTGTGGACCGTCTGCAAGCTGCAAAGCACAGTTGGGGAGCTGCCCAAATAATCTGAGGGTATTAAACAGTTCAAGAGCTGTGGTTGGATGCAACCCAGGAACGGGGCTACATTTCTCTGAGAATCAATGCACCATCCCCGGGGATTACAGTGCTTCCACGGTGAAATTCACTTGTCCAATGAAGAATCCCATTATAAAGATTAAAGCGTCATGCCAATAGTAAACACGCAAATATAGGTTGAACGAGGATTCTGTGCAGTAACATGAACTTCTAATAAAGGTTGTTTGGAAATACTATTTGGACAGTTGACGCTGGGCCTCCTTGTTAGTCCTGGGATTTGCTCTATGCTTTTGAACTTGAACCTCTTGGTGAATCGTCTAGTTTCCGAGAGAATTTGCAATCAGCATCTGTGCTACTGCGTGAAATGTTTGTAACAGTACGGATGAACTGAGGGAGAACACGGTACTATGCAGTTAGAGAAGCAGTCGTTAGGAACGCAGCCTAGTGAGCAATAGTTTTTACAGTTGGAATTAAGATGGACTCGATTTAGAGACTTAAGATTAAACACTTTATCAGCTGGGGTAGTGCAAAATCACTCAGAAAAGTCGACTACTTACCTTTTTTTTTTTCAAGGTATTTGGCCAAAGAAAAATCTGTTTTCCAAGGTAACACGTGATAATTTTGAATAAGCGAAATGCGTGGAACAATTGAAAGGATCTCATCATTAATCCTGCATATTATCGCAAGAGTAACATCGTTAACTACTCAAGATGCATACTTCTATAAAGATTTCGTAACACAGAATTAAACGATTACTAGCCTTTTTGGAAAATAGAAATACCAGGTCTACCGTCACAAGAATCAACTTGATGCATGCAAACCATGTAAAAAAGGAAGACTTCTCTAACACAACTCACATGTGCATGCTAACAATTATTCCATGCAACCAATAAGACAATTATACTTCTCCGAAGTATATGAGCGATGCTATCTTATATTAATGCATTATCAATAATATGACTGTACTACTAATTATATGGCTAAATAAAAAAATTAATTAGTAAAATTAGAAACTATGATATTTATCACATTAAGAAAATTATTAGGTACAAATGTGAAATTTTAAATAATCATAATAATATGTTGCAAATAATATTATTAATAGCAAATATAATATATGGTATCAATTAAATGATTTATACAATGTTGGATTCGACGTGCCGATCCTGTTCCGACTAATGATAGATAGTGGGGGTTGGAGGACGGGCTCGACGGCGGCTCTTGCCAGCGCATACGCGGGCCGGCAACAACGAGGAGGAAGCCGAGATCGTCCAAGGTTGAGGGGTAAAATAGGAATATCAATATATTAGTGAGGGTAAGATTGGAAGAAAAAATTTCATCAAAGCTTGAAGTAGCATTTGATTTTCTAAAAACTCAAAGTTGAGAGAGTTACCAAAAGGCCCTTGAGATTGTATTACTACGGCGCAAAGCTGCTTGTGAGTAATGCGCCAAACACAGCTGATCATGGAGCCGATCCATTCAATTACTCAACCCCCACAAATCCTCTCACCACTCAGGCTCGTGATCCTCCAGAAGGTAGAAATTCCTCGGTGCACTCAATTAAAAGTCCAATGCCTCCATCAACCGATTCCTCGCAATTTCTTTCTTTACCGTGGGGAATTTTGTACAAATCGCAAGCCTCGCGGTGCCGGTGCTCGGTCTCACATTGCCGCTTGCTTTTTTGTTCGTCGGAGTCACGTTCGTGGTGCTGGAAGCTGCTGCTGCTCTCCCTTCCTCCTCCAACGGTATTCTTCCATCCGTATCGAAGTTCTGGTTGATTTGCTGTTCTCCATACGATTCCGCGAGGGAAGAGAGACGTTAGACGAAGATTTTGAAGGTCAGGTTTACCGAAGGAAGCGAGACGTCAGGAAATGAGGGAGTAATAGCCTCTTGCAGCGTGCTGAACGGGGTTTCAGGGGAACAAATTTGATCTATCGATCCAGTCAGTCAAAAAAACGTCTAAAACGCTCGACAATTTCAAAGCAAATCTGATTGATCGATTGGAATCCAATGCACGTTACCCTTCGGAAGTTAGCTAAGGAAATAGACATTAAACAAAGACTTCAAATTAATCAAGTCATTGAAGCCGGTACTACCTGCTCTTCGGGGAAAAAGATATGATAGTCACGTTCCTGTCCTTTTCGTGCCAACTCTTCAATACGTTTACATTTGTTTTCTTTCTCGACACAAAAAACGTCTAAAACGCTCGACACTTTCAAAGCAAATCTGATTGATCGATTGGAATCCAACGCACGTTACCCCTTGGAAGTTAGCTAAGGAAATAGACATTAAACAAAGACTTCAAATTAATCAAGTCATTGCAGCCGGTACCACCTACTCTTCGGGGAAAAAGAGATGATAGTGACGTTCCTGTCCTTTTTGTGCCAAACTCTTCAATACGTTTACATTTGTTTTCTTTCTCATGGATTAGAACTTTTATATGTGTTTTTCCAGGTCAAGCAAGTCATTTGAGCCCGTCAATGGTGCTAGAAAAGAAATTTTTTTATCTATCCAATTACTATCTCGTGACAGATACCGTCTTAACCAGGTCATTTGGCGACGAGTACTCCCATTATCGAGACAATGACTTCTTTTTTTTTAACTTTAGACGTCAGGAAATGAGGGAGTAATGGCCTCCTGCTGCGTGCTGAACGGGGTTTCAGGGGAATAAATTTGATTTATCGATCCAGTCAGTCAAAAAAACGTCGAAAACGCTCGACACTTTCAAAGAAAATCTGATTGATCGATTGGAATCCAATGCACGTTACCCCTTGGAAGTGAGCTAAGGAAATAGACATTAAACAAAGACTTCAAATTACTTAAGTCATTGCAGCCGGTACTACCTACTCTTCGGGGAAAAAGAGATGATAGTCACGTTCCTGTCCTTTTCGTGCCAACTCTTCAATACGTTTACATTTGTTTTCTTTCTCATGGATTAGAACTTTGTTAGCGCTCAAATTTGGCTGATTGAGCTAGAAGAAAGAAATGGTACATCAGGCCTAAATTGCTAAATAGTAGACTGGGTAAGGAAGTCGCACAAGACCCACTACACGGGATACCGAAAACTCGGCACCAATAACGGCTTAGGACGGCGGGATAAGAATAAGACCGGTTACCACATCCAGTGCCGACAATACCGCGAAATAAAGGGAGCGTTTATCGGGAATGAAGTCGGATAATCCAGAGTCAAGATGATAACCACTCGGCAGCAGTTATTCATCAGCATTAGCTATAAATAGCTTCCAGGCAGTCATTTCAATGACCTTTTGCCAAATTGACTGCAAAACGCATACCTTTTGTAATCTTGCTCATTCAATTGCTATCGTTAATTTACCTTTTATCGCACAATTTACCTTTTGTCCTTTTACTTTTGTTCGCCATTAGCGTAGTTTTCGTCGCTTCTTTTCCGAAATGACACAGGACCTGGTTACTCATAAAAAAGCCGAAGATCTTCCCCTTTGTTGAAAGATTTTTTGTTTGAGGCCATTCTCGGCGAAACAAACTTTTATATGTGTTTTTCCAATTATTATCTCATGACAGATACCGTCTTAACCAGGTCATTTGATGACGATTACTCCCATTATCGAGATAATGACTTTGTTTGTAAACTTAAATGGTATGGCTGGCGAACCTTTAAAGATCCGTGTATTGTTCTTCCATGGAAACGCCATGAGCAAGTACTGCAACTTGTCTCATATTCTGATCCCTATATTGCTAATCAGCGTACTGGTGAAGTAGGTGAACGGTGTGCTCTGGAAGACATACTTGTTTTTAACGGACCGGCGAATGCTTTGCCATCTTTTAGCGTACCGTTTGGACAGAAGTCATAAGATTCCAGCGTTCGATTCGTCTAATGCCTGGACTAACTCCATGACGAACCGTTGCTGAGGCTATCCAGTGATATTACGTTTGCTTTCTTTGTAAAGTTACGTAAACTAATACGCCCAATGACCAAAACAAATCCTTACGTTTCCTTCTCTAACCCCTTCCCCCTCCTCCTCTGCACCAGATTCGGACGCGCCGCTATTGCTCCCGGTGCTGCAAGCCACGCCTCCGCACCGCCGCTCTCGACATCGCCGGACCCCCATGTCACTTGCTCCCGTGGCAAGGCACGGATTGTGGCTGGCGGCGGAGGCTCGGCTGGGCTAGAGGATCTCATTCTTATTATCTCCTTCCTCAATCTAAAACAGAAAAGGAAACAATGTAATTAAGAGAAGAGGGACGTTAGAATGAAGATTTAAACGGGAGGTTTGCGGGAGGAAGAGAGATGTCAAAAAGGAAAAGACCAACCCGGGTTGCCCGGTAACAAATTTGATCGATCGAATTCGTAAATGCTTCGACCAAACAAAAAGAAATTCGTAAATGCAAAAAACAAAAAAAAAAAGAATAAAACGTCCGATGTATTTAGAACGTTTGATACGGCGTTTTCGGTCGAATTTACTTCGAAGTCACTTTAACGTTAGCTCGGAAGTTAGCCCAAAAAGAAAACATTAAACAAAGACTTCCATTTCGACCCCACCAAAAAAAAAAAAACAAAGACTTCAATTGGTCAAGTCGTTGCCGCAGGTCACACGTAATTTACATTAATAAAATAAGTGCACGCAAGATTCCATGCGTGAATGACGTTGCTTATTAGAAAAGTGGAACTGCCAATGACTTATTATTATACAAGATATAGAATTGTAGATTATTATGTCATATATGTTGCTTTTCCTTTAAAATATTGTTGGGTCCGTGAATGACGCCGGGAAAAACTATACGGGACCAAAATAATAATTTTTCCAACAACTATCTCGCGGAGTCATCTCGGAGTCATTGTCTCAACCAGATAATTTAATGACGATAAATCATATCGTCGATATGATGACTTTTTAAAACTTATGGACGGCGGGCGGACAAACTGAAAAACCGCATCTTGCGGTTCCAGCAAGACGCCGCTAACAATCAATCCACTTTTGTCTCATGTTTAGACTCCTATGTTACTCCTATGTTCTAAGCAGCGTACTGGTGAAGTAGTTGAGCGGTGTGCTGTGGAAGACTATTTGGTTCAATTTGCAATGCCATCATGTCTTGCATCATACAGGTGTCATTTGGGGTTTCCTTTTTCTCCCCTAATGATATTTATTTATTTTCGATAAACTACCAGAAGATCCGGGAACATTAATACCTGGCCCTGCTGTTGCACTATCAAATAAATTAGGAAAAATTTCAAATAAAAACGCGAAGTATGATCATTTTCAAAAAAAAAGGACATAAAGTGGATTTTTTTTCAAATAAAAATCTGAAGTGATCTAGCCACTTTAAGATCCTGAACTCGCCGGTCGGCCAATTTTTTTTGACTTTTTTAGTTTTTTCTATTTTCTTTCTATTCTTTATCAAAATTTATTTAGGCAAAAAATTACCCTGTTCCAACTGCCGCAAAAATGAAATGCTCGCCGACCGACAAGGTCAGGCTCTTATTTAAGATTGATTTGGCCATTTTCGGCCCTTGTTTGAAATAAGGTTCATTGTGCCTTCTTTTGATAAAATGACTTCACTTCAGACTATTTTTTGAAAATTTCCACATAAATTACAGTGCATTATTAAATTTGAGCTTTTTTTCCTTCTTTTTTCCCTCATTATTTAATTGAGGGTGCGCAACACCGTGGATAAAGTATATAACCAATGACTTATTCATGTGTATCGAAAACAAAATAGTATAAGAGATGATTATAGATCATACATATAAACATCCGAGGGAAGAAAATGTTCGGATTATCTTATCTTGATTTACTGTATTAATCACAATTAATCCAAGAAAACGACAATAAAGATGAGCTACGACATATCTCATTGATATCTCTAAGGGCGAGAATTAGGTGGAAAGTCACTGTCACCGGGGAGCCGTTCTCCCAATTTCAAAACTTTCAAATTGTTATGGAACTATCTCATAAGCCCCGGTCATTTACTTTTATTGCTAGTCGGCGAACAAATGTTTCTTTTACTGCTAACTAAGCCAAAGTCGATCTCTGACCCAAGTCAATGCTTCTTTGCTAGAGTGGGTCCAGTTTTGGCCCTCTAAAGTCCTCGAACGAAAGTCATGGTGTTTCGTAAGAAAATTTCGGATCAATTAGCCCGAGGCGGTTCCCCTTGCATTCTTAGAAGTCATCCAAGGACCAAGTCTGCGCTATATAATAAAATAGAGGACAACAACCACTACACTATTTGGTTTTAGAAAATGGAATGATTATCGTCTTACTTGGGTTTACTTTTGCAATTAAAAAGAGAGAGAGAGAGAGAGAGAGGTAAAGTGTTTCTTAAGGTATAAGACCCACAAGCATAAGAACCACAATTGTCATCGAAACGTGGTGAGCAAGTCATAAACCTGCATATCATAAGCATAATTGCAATCAGATGTGCAGCCGGTAAAGTCAGAGATGATAGGAAAACCTGTTCCAAACATCCAACGACTCATCAGCTTGTTATTAACTTTCATTGCCCGAAAGAAAATATATCTCGTGTTATTAATAAGATAAATTGTTTGAATGAGACTACGGCGCACATATATTACTCCGGGATGTCGACGGCAGTCTTCGATACATAAACAAGTTTAATTGCAGCCGATGACTGGTGAAGCCCTCGCTGTGATCCACATTAAAGCGTATCTTTATATGACCCATTTGAAAATGAAGAGAAGATGCCATCAAACACTCCTATTCTCAGGATCAACGCCCATGCTGAGCTTTTGACGCAGGGAACATGATGTAGTTCATTTTAACGCCGTGTGCGTGCTGGCTGAAAATGTAAAAAACACAGAAAAGACGAACACTGGAAGGGAAACTATAGCTATATCAGTGTTCTAGATGTGGGACCAGTATCATGCTCGTGCATATTTGTTTATTGGAACAATTACCTGTCTAGACTCGGTAAAGGTTGAAGAAAGACTTCGCAGTCTCCGCCAAATTTCCATAGAGTTTCCTCGTAATACTCCTAACAACTTCTTTGTCGTTTTCACGAGGAGCATATATACATATGCCGACTCCGAAAGGCGATGCTGCATCCGAATGGTAATGCTTTTGCATCCCCAAATAAAAAAATGCAATGCTTGTCAAAATCTCGTCAAACTGTCCTGTTTCTGTTCTCATTCCTTATTGAAGCATAAGCAATGAGCACCACGTTGTCCCCTTCTCCCTCTCCTCTCTCCCTAGGAAGAGCTCCGTGTCGCCCTGATCAAAAAGTCCGACTTGCTTCACTTCCTGAATGCTTTATTACCAGATAATTCCACGTCAGTATTCTGCCAACTGGATATCGGTTGGCTCAGGAGACCAAAGATGCTCTCCTGGAATGCTGACTCGGATTGTTGCTTGTGGGACGGAGTCACATGCGATCCAATGACCGGTCATGTGACTCGCCTTGACCTCGGCTGCTTCCCCCCGAACCCGACCTGCTACTCTTCCGCAGGGTCTTCAAACGGCACTGAGCCATCTACTTTTGGTCTACTCAATCTTCCTTCACCCCAGGAAGCTGAAAGACCATCAGGGTCAAACAAGCTGCGTCAAAATCTGACCATGTTAAGAGTCCTTATTCTTGACGGGTTAAACATGTCTGGCATTGATGTGACTCGCTTAAGTAATCTGCCTCCATCTCTGGAAGTCCTCAACCTCTGTTCGTGTAAATTGCACGGCACTTTAGCAGCAAACGTTTACTATTTGCCAAAGTTAATATGCCTCAATTTATCCGGCAACAAGGAGCTTTTGGGTTACTTACCTGAATCAACTTGGAACAACTCTTTGAAGGTTCTGGACTTGTCCTCCACAGGCTTCAATGGAGTATTACCAGAGTCCATCGGTAATCTGCATTCTCTGCAGATACTGTGGCTGAACCGGTGTAGCTTCACGGGTTCTATTCCATCATCACTTGGTAACCTAACACGGCTCACCCATCTGGAACTTTCATATAATGAGTTTAGTGGGCAGGTTCCTCCAACTTTGTCAAACCTTGATCAGCTCAGTTTGCTTGATCTTTCCTCGAACAATTTCATAGGTCCAATACCTGATGTCTTTGACAATAAGACACGACTTCTTCTTCTGGATTTCTCACATAATCTCTTCAAGGGTCCTATTCCTCCAAGCATAAAGAATCTTTCAAATCTTGCTCGACTTGACATTTCCAACAACCTCATTGGTGGGTTTATACCGTCGTCACTGTTCTCTCTTCCGTCCTTGAAAAGCCTAGACCTCAGTAACAATGAGCTCAGTGGTCACATCGGCGAGTTCCTTGCTGCACCTGCATTAGACCATGTTGACCTGAGTGGTAATCAGTTGTGTGGTTCAGTCCCGAGCTCAATTTTTCAGCTTAGGAACCTCACTTTTCTGAGCATCTCAGCAAATAACCTGACTGGTGTTTTAGACCTACAATTGCTCTCAAGACTCGAAAGTCTAACAAATCTCGATCTTTCAGACAACATTTTGTCACTGAGCAATAGCGAAAACACCGAGCATGTCCTGCCGAGCCTCTTGTCCGTCAGTCTTTCCGGGTGCCAAGTTACGGAAATGCCCGCATTCTTGAGAAATTCAACCAGTATAGAATGGATAGATCTGTCTGGAAACAGAATCCGCAGCGATATTCCATCATGGATGTGGGATATTGGGGCCATGTCATTGTCTTATCTCAATCTTTCCCACAACTTTCTCACTAGCTTTGAACAAGTTCCATGGAGAAATCTTATAATTCTCGACCTGCATTCGAATTTAATCCAAGGGCCGGTTCTGCCTCCATCATTCCCAAACTCGATTCTCATCTTCTCGCTAGCCAGCAATCAATTGACTGGCTATATACCTGGTTCTATTTGTGAAATGAAGGGCCTCCAAGTTCTTGACCTCTCGCATAATAATTTCATAGGCATGATCCCGCAATGTCTAGGGAACGTCAGTGACGGCCTCTTAGTGTTGGATCTGCAAGAGAATAGACTCTCCGGCACAATTTCATTGACGTTCACCGAAAATGCAGCCCTGACAAGTCTTCACCTCAATCGAAATCAATTTGAAGGCCCGTTGCCGCACTCTCTATCCAATTGCAAGCAACTTGAAGTGCTGGATCTTGGCGGTAACAAGTTGAACGACACTTTCCCGAAATGGTTGGATATACTTCCTAGACTGAGGGTTTTGATCTTGCGATCAAACAGACTTCATGGCTCCATAGGAAACCCAGGAACAGAATTTCCCTTTCCGCAGTTGCGCATTCTTGACCTTTCCTCCAATGAGTTCACCGGTCCTCTGCCGAGCGCCTACTTTGGAAACCTAAAAGCGATGATGTTGACTGACCAGGATGGACAGGAGTTGCAGTACATGGACCAAGGTTACTACCAAGACTCCATGATTGCAACAATGAAAGGACGGGACATGCCAGCTGTTAGAATCCTAGCAATCTTGACGACCATCGATCTATCAAGCAACAAGTTCCAGGGAATAATTCCTGATGCAATAGGAGGGTTAAGATTACTCAAGGGGCTTAACCTCTCTCATAACAATCTTCAAGGCCACATCCCTTTGCCTCTCGGGAACCTTTCTGAGCTTGAATGGTTGGATCTCTCTTCGAATGAGCTTAGCGGGACGATACCAACCGAGTTGACAAATCTCACATCTCTAGAGGTCCTAAATGTCTCTTCCAATCAACTAACAGGATCAATTCCTCAAGGGCACCAATTCAACACATTTCCAGCTGAATCCTATCATGGAAACCCAGGACTGTGCGGGTTTCCGCTGTCCAAAGCTTGTACTAATACCAGGGCGTTGCGGAAACTCCCCGTGCTTCCTGAAGGTGGGGTCCATTCATTCCGCGTGGATTTTCTCGAGCCAAGGGCTACGGAAATAGGATTAGGATGTGCCATCTTCCTCGGACTAATCATGAGTATCTTGAAAAACCTTATTTCTATCCGGCGGACAAACAGGAATTTCAGGAAGATTGCAATGAAAGACGTTTCTCCGATCGGGCCTTGAAACTGTACACTCGATGAAAGCTGTGGTTGCTGATTTGTGTATCCTTACAGAAATTAGATTAGAAAAGCAAAGCCTCTTTATGCGTGCATAGTCCATATTGGTAAAATCATACGAACAAGGGTATTAAAAAACTCGTCCATCATGTTTAGGAGTTGATTTTGCCGTCATTATCCCAAAAGTGAGATACCAAGATCGATCCATTAAAGAGAGTAAATGAACTAATAGCATTCATATAGAGATATTTTAGTTGTCATAGATGATTATTTCTATCGTTTATAAAGGAAAACTTACTTTTAGTTTCCTAAAAAGACATGTACTATTCATGTGACATGTTATATAATCAAATTTTATTGAATTAAATTTTCATAACATAAAAGCTTTCATTGATTGGAAACAATTTATTTTCTCTCTCTTATGGAACTCAAGCTTGGTGCTTAGGTCCCGTGCCTAGCCTTGGAATACTCTGAGCCTGGGCATTGGGGTCCTGGACCTAGTCACAGGGGACCTAGACTCGGCTGTCAGGGTTCCAGGAGCTTGGGCGCGACCATTGAAGAACGGAGCACGGGCATCAAGGTCTTAGACCAACCTCAAGAGATCTGGGCACAGGTTCTGGGGACCCAAACAAAAGCACTAGGATCTTGGGCCTAGCCACAAGAACTTGGGCCCACCCTTTGTCTAGGACCACCCTAAGGAACAAAACCCATCTCGATGGACCCAGATCCGAGCGCTAGTGACTTGGGCACAACAGCTGAGTACCTTGAGCATGGCTGCCAAGGACCCTAGCACAAGCATAGGAATCGGGGTCCCGGGCCCGGCCTCGATGGACCTAAGCCCATGCATTGGTGACACAAGCGCGGGAGTCAAATACTAGGGTACGGGCACGGATGTTTAGGGCCGAGCTTTTGGGACTTGGGACCCAATCGCCGACGACTTGGGCACGGGCGTCGGAGTTTCCATGCCCAAATGCCAAGATCTCTGATCCGAACGTTGATGTATAGTCATTTTTTTGGAAAACCATTTTATTTTTTAAGAGTATACATTATCGGTGTCAAAGGAAGATTTCAGGAACGGTCTTATTTACCCCGATTGGTCAATAAGAGAATAAATAGTTAAAATCTTTAGATTAAAGGTGCATAAGATTAGGGGTGAGCATATCGGACCGACTGAATCGAGAACCGCCTGGACCAGATTGGACCGGCCGATTCTAGGCAGTTCCAGGGGGTCTCGGTTTGGTCCCATGTTCCTATTTTTGGAACCAGTGACCGATCGGTCCGGTTCCTGGTTCTAGGCTAGGAACCGGATTGACCGGACAGGACCGACTATATATATATTTTAAATTTTTTTATTTCTGAAGAAACAACGATTTAATTTCAGATATGTTACTCCTCGGATAGTTTGAGTGTCAATGGGTTCGTTTGAAGCTTTCTGCAACTGCAAAATTCAGGCTTTGGCTCTTTCCCCCTCATAACCATCACTTAAATGTCTGTATATACACGCGACATATAAAAGACGAGATAGAAAAGTGTCCTGCGTTTTAGTTGTCAAGAGGCTCTTTTATATCGTGGAAAAGATGGACGCTGACGGGGGAAGAGTGAAAGATTTTCTACCCTGCGTGTGCAATTGGGAATAGGTAGGCTTGTTTTGAACACAATTATTAAAAAGCATTTGCAGAAATGCAAGACCACGAAACTATATCGATGTCCAGAAGGCGAAATGGTTTGCGGAAACCTATTGAATTTTGCAGTTGCAGAAAAAGTGGAACCGGTCCGGTCTCCGGTCCCAGAAACTAGAAACTGATCCTCTTCGTCCAGTTCCCGGTTCCAAGGTAGGACCGGACTGGACCAAAAACCGATCACCCCTATATAAGATCGCTTGCACCAAACAAAAAAATTTATATTGATAGTGTATGATCCAATTTCCTTTGTACTGTTGTTGGGTTCGTTGATGATGTGAGAAAAATATATCGGATCAAGTAATAGTTTTTTCCAATAGATATCTCATGATACTAATTGTCCCAACTAGACAATTTAATGAGAATAACTCGCACTATCGAGATAATGACTTTTGAACTTAATGGTAGGGAATCACTGGGGTTTGTCTCAGTGGTCACCCTTTTTATTTGGGAATGGGAGGTGGGGAGTTCAAGTCCCCACCGATGGAGAAGTTTAATTTCAGATGTGAATTTCGACTCTCACGCTCGGTAAAGAGGTAGGATAAAAATTTGAGAGTGAGTTGAGTATCAAAGTAGGACAGACCAAAAAAAAAACTTAACGGTAGGGAGGGCAGACCATTAAGGAACCTTAAATTGTGGTTCCGCGAAAACGCCATTTACAAGTGATGCAACTTGTCTCGTATACTGAATCCTACGTGCCAAGCGGCATCCTGGTGAAGTCGGTGAGAGGTGCTTTGGAAGACATCTGTTTTTAAGGGACCAGCGGATGCTTTGCCGTCTTATAGTGTACGATTGGTACATTAATGATAAGATCCTACCGTCCGACTCCTCTATTGCCTGCACTAACTACAGGACGAACCTTTGCGGAGGCTGTCCAATGATATTTATATCAACATATATTCACTAAAAGTTCTAAAATTTATTGCAAAAATGCAATTGAGTTCTAAAACTTTCAAAAAGTGAAATTAAGTCTTAAAACTTGTTAAATTAATGCAATCAAGTCCTTCTGTTAACACCGTCAATTTATCTAACGGAAAATACTATCGTGACATTTTCAAATTAATTTCTCTTTCCTATGTGATATTTTTTTATTAATTTTTTTAATAAAGCTAATTTTTATTTAGAAAAAAAAAACTGAAGAGACAGAGAGAGAGAGAGACAGAGAGAGAGAGAGACAGAGAATGAGCCTTCCAGTGGGCGTTGCCATCACCGCCATTCACCGAAGGGGTCGGCGGAGGTCGCCAGCCTTAGGCGAGGCCATGGCCTCGCTAGCCACGGGCGAGGCCGCCTTTGCTCGCAGCCGGCGAGGCAGCCTCGCCCATGGCCGCAATGGCCTCACCTAGTGGTCGGCAAGCTCTGGCCAGCTCGCCTGTTGGGAAACAAAAATGAAAAGATGGAAGGAAAAAAAGAAGAAAAGGAAAAAGAAACAAATTAAGAAAAAATAATAATAAATTCAAAAATTTTAAAAATATTATAAAAAATTATTCACATCAACACCGGCCGTGTCATGTGGGATGGTCAAAGTCCACGTCAATAATTTTTGGCCAAAATTGGTTGGATGGGCTCAATTAACAAAAATAAAAAGTTTAAGATTAAATTGGCAAACATATAATAGGTTTAGGACTTTTTGGACAATTTTCTCATCTGCACAAAAATGGAAATTATTTTATTCCGCTGCACAAATCCAATATTGTTCGGATTGTCATTGATCTCTCATCACGTTAGTCTATTTAAATAGCATTGTGATTGCCAAACTAAAGAAATGTCACATCACTGCAATGAACTCTCATGTTGTGTAGTAGTCATTGCAACAATTATAACTCAGAGTGTTATATTAATAAGAGCGTGATATTTTGAATTGGACCAAGCTACGATGGTTTCCTTCTCTATGGTACTTGGTAGCAAGTCAATTGAAAGACACCTTGCGAAACATAGGCTGCCAAGTAGGAGTCGAAGCTTTCTCATGTCAACCTAGGCGCGGGAGGCTATTATACTTGTCTATCAGATAGTAGCTAGCCGAAACTGACGTGGTGTCTACCTTCAGCACCCATGAGCCCCTAAGTTTTCTTTTGTTGTTTTTCTTCCTAGAAGAAAAGAAATACGAAGAGAACTTATGGGGAGATCTCTTCACTATATAGGGGAGTTCATTCCCTTATCTCCCCTTGAGCCTTTTAGAAATCTGCTCAAGTGCAAAAATAATATATTAATAAAAGTATGATTTTCAGGTTCTGAATTGGACCGAGCTACGATGGTTTCCTTCTCAATATGCCAAGAGATAAAAGAATTGCCTCGAAAAAAGCAACGGCCAATAGTAACGATCAGAAGAATCAACTGGCCAGTTTGCTATAATATGATTAGTATGTGGATCATTGATGAACCAATCAACAGTATTGAGAGCGGAGTGATTAGTGAAGGAAGAACTTATTGTGGACGACTAAATAATTATGAGAGAAGAAAATATCTTAGACTCATACACAAGGTAACATGGCTAGATATGCGAATGCATCCCCAAATTCTGTACTTTTGTGCTTAATGCTATGCCGAAGGAAATAACATAATTGGGCGCGAGAATCTAATATTGTACTTTTATTATTTAAAAAATGTGCAAAATAAGCACTACCAAAGATTTCAAGAAGATATAGTTGAAGACAATTTATAAGTACTAAGGAATATTGCCTTGAGAGGATGATTGAGTGTAGGGTTAATGCTGTATTGAATGATATGAATTACGTTTTTGTTCATTAATAAAATCATTTTATGATAGAATAAGTACGCAAATTACTTCTATTTAAATAAAAATAGACAAAGTTTAAATCCTTTCGCTAACTCTAATATACAAAAAAACAACAATATTATTTTTAATGTCAATCTTTTCTTAATAAATTATGATTTTGACGCTGACAAAAATGGAAATGAATTCTAATAACGATCACAACAAGTCAACACGAATTGCCAACCTAATTAACTCAAATTATTTAAGTGCACTTTCAAAACATATAACATATATGCGCATATTGTTTAATAAATTTTCGCCGATTCATCCTAGAGGTGAGCACTAGGTCCAGCTCAACCAAAGAATCGGATCAAACCGGCCAGTTTAATGTAGAACCAGTCCACTTCCCAGTATTGGTAACCTAGTACCGACAGGTTCCCGGGTTGAACGGAAAAACACTTTTGCATACATAGAGAATCAAATCATGGTCTTCAAAATGAGAAAACAACAATATAATGACTTGACCAATATTTGTTTTTGTAATGAAATGGTGCAATGTCAATATTTCAATATAAAAATATGATTTTTTTAGTTAAAACAAAAGTTGGACCAGTT